AAATAATAGCAAAAAAATAAATAAATAAATAAATAATAATAATAATAATAATAATAATAATAATAATAATAATAATAATAATAATAAGCGGGGCGATAAATAGTGTAGGGGACATATCCCGTCCCGCTTGAACCGGGTATGGAAATAGGACAAAGTGACAAAAATACCAGACTAGACGAGGGTGGGATTGACCGATCCATCCCATACCTTTCACGTCATCTCTAAATATATCACGTGTTTCCTACAACGGCCGCCGACATCAACGTCCACTCTAACTTACTTGAGATTCTGGATCCGCTACTAGACATTCCCCATCCTATGGCTCCCTTTCGTCCAATCCCTCGTTGGAATATGAAAATATTCGAGCAATTGCCTTTAACTTTGACAAGAACAATTTATTTATTCCAACTTACATATACACTTACCAAACATGCTATATGTATATTGTTTTTTAGTTTAACTTTGACATCATTCCACGTGGCACATATCATAATCTTTGATTTCCAAACACCCTTCCGCACATCGCTAATCTAATTTTGACACATAAGGAGAATGCCATCCTTAAACTAAAAAACAATGTACATCCAGAATAATTCAATACTTAATACATTTTTTAAGCTTGTTGGAGAAAAAAGAGGTTTACTAACTTGGTTTGGCTAAGGTTTGATAAAAAGGATAACACTAATAGGAAGAAGTAAGTAAATAAAAAAGTAACTTATATTTCTCAACTTCAAAACTTTTACACTTGACTTGACTTGTTACAAAATGGAAGGACTCTACCCCTTTATATAGGATTTATATGAAACTTCTAGACCACATATTTTCCTAAAGACTTCTAGTCCACATATTATCATGAGGCTTCTAGACCACATATTTGGACTAAATATTTTCCTACAATATTCTAGATATAATTTCTAGAATCACATAATCTACTTGACGTGTCACCACGTTTATGACCATATCTTTTATTTAGATATTTACATAGATCTTTCTAGAAAATATTTCTAAAAATGTTAGACTTTGTTTGGCTATTTAATTGAATTGGGCCTATGAGCAAAAATTCTTAACCCCATATTACTTACTCCAAAATCAAGTTTACTTCCCAACATCCCTTCTTAAACTTTATTTTGCTACTCCGAGTAATGTTCTTAGCTTGCAGAACACGTCATGCTTGAGTAGTGAGAATGTCAACGATATGCTCTTAAGAGATTACATACTTCAATTGCATCTCATTCTTTACAATG